GTTTATCAAAGAAATTATAATATCATGGAACGGAAAAAAAAGAATCAGTTTTACATACTTTTTATTTAAAATATAGTGTTTATCAAAGAAATTATAATATCATGGAACGGAAAAAAAAGAATCAGTTTTACATACTTTTTATTTAAAATATAGTGTTTATCAAAGAAATTATAATATCATGGAACGGAAAAAAAAGAATCAGTTTTACATACTTTTTATTTAAAATATAGTGTTTATCAAAGAAATTATAATATCATGGAACGGAAAAAAAAGAATCAGTTTTACATACTTTTTATTTAAAATATAGTGTTTATCAAAGAAATTATAATATCATGGAACGGAAAAAAAAGAATCAGTTTTACATACTTTTTATTTAAAATATAGTGTTTATCAAAGAAATTATAATATCATGGAACGGAAAAAAAAGAATCAGTTTTACATACTTTTTATTTAAAATATAGTGTTTATCAAAGAAATTATAATATCATGGAACGGAAAAAAAAGAATCAGTTTTACATACTTTTTATTTAAAATATAGTGTTTATCAAAGAAATTATAATATCATGGAACGGAAAAAAAAGAATCAGTTTTACATACTTTTTATTTAAAATATAGTGTTTATCAAAGAAATTATAATATCATGGAACGGAAAAAAAAGAATCAGTTTTACATACTTTTTATTTAAAATATAGTGTTTATCAAAGAAATTATAATATCATGGAACGGAAAAAAAAGAATCAGTTTTACATACTTTTTATTTAAAATATAGTGTTTATCAAAGAAATTATAATATCATGGAACGGAAAAAAAAGAATCAGTTTTACATACTTTTTATTTAAAATATAGTGTTTATCAAAGAAATTATAATATCATGGAACGGAAAAAAAAGAATCAGTTTTACATACTTTTTATTTAAAATATAGTGTTTATCAAAGAAATTATAATATCATGGAACGGAAAAAAAAGAATCAGTTTTACATACTTTTTATTTAAAATATAGTGTTTATCAAAGAAATTATAATATCATGGAACGGAAAAAAAAGAATCAGTTTTACATACTTTTTATTTAAAATATAGTGTTTATCAAAGAAATTATAATATCATGGAACGGAAAAAAAAGAATCAGTTTTACATACTTTTTATTTAAAATATAGTGTTTATCAAAGAAATTATAATATCATGGAACGGAAAAAAAAGAATCAGTTTTACATACTTTTTATTTAAAATATAGTGTTTATCAAAGAAATTATAATATNAATAAAAAAAGATTTAAAAAATTATTCCAACAGTTAAATAAAAATGTTTCTCTTCTTTTCTTTAAAAATATTTTGAATGTATGTACACATGCTCGTATTTACTTATTTCATTTAACATTATATCATTTAGTAGTTAATTACTAGAAAATGTTAAGATTCTAATTTATAATGTCATAAAAAATTGATTCCATTTAAATTGAAACTTTAATATAGTAAACTTACACTCTCTGCTGCTTTCCATAAGGTACCCCAATCAAGTTTTGGAATTATTCTTGCAATAAATTCTGAATTGAAGTCCACTTCAGACACTTTAATATCTTTTGCCTACAAATTTAAGTACGTACACTTTTGTGGTTACAAGCAATCTTATTCAAATTGAACTCTTATACTTAATATAATTATTTCCGTAAAAACATGTTAACATTTCTTACAAAAATCTTGTTTAACCTTTAGTTAAATTAACCTTAAAAATTAAACACGTTTGACACTTACAACGATTCCTAAGGGATATCCAACAGTTACGCCTTTCAAGCATTTTGAAGTTAACATGTTATGCGTTAAAAGCTTCATTTTTTATTCAGTAAATTATTTGCTTGAATGAAAAGTTACGAAAAGAACGTACATACAATTTTCTCTCGTCGATGTTTAGCGTGCAAAATACGAGTTCATTGCACGGCTACGGCACTTTCGTCTGCTCGTCGCCGGCTTTGATGGTTTATGCGCGCTTCAGGCTTCAAAACGCAACTCAATCGGCAAACAGACGAGACGGCGCCTCCTACCCGAGCGCGACGAAAACAAGCGTTGATCCCGCGCGTTCTCTTCTAATTCAATTTTTCAAATCTCTTTCTTTTTACTCATGGATGAGGCAATAGCAACCAACCAACGCTCCTAAGGTTCTTATTAAAAATCGCGCAATTAAGCGATCGTGAACTGCTGTGAACGCATCATTATGTTAATTTACACATTGTGGATATAATAGATACTATACAACCACCAGAGAGCGAGAGAGAGAGAGAGAGAGAGAGAGAGAGAGAGAGAGAGAGAGAGAGTTCTATTCGTAGTACGCGCTGCTCATACCACGCGACTCGAATAAATCTTTAACTTAATTCATATGTATATTTATCATTACAATGTGTTTTTACATCTAGATGATATTTGCAATTTTGATGAGATCAAAATAAAAATTATTCGATTGTCGAACTTGTATATCGAAGCAAAATGTTACGTGTAACACAATTTAAATTTCTGATAAACTTCCATAAATTGTCTAGCAGTCACGTGATTCTCCTACTCAGTTGTGCTGTTATTAAGAGGTTAACTTTTCGATGAGAACGTTTGCTATTATAATCGTGAATAGGGTATCGCATTTCATTAGATTTTTTGCAAACACAGTTTCTAATATAACTGCAGCATATTTAAATAAAAAATACTTAATACAAAATAAAAGTATCATAAGTGTTACGAAACATATGGTGTCTCCTAGACGTATATATCATAGCTCGAGGTGGAAAATCGTTTGAACAACAGCAAACTGACAGTAGCCACATCATCTGGCCTTGATGAAAATACGCAATCACCTGTTATTATTGCCGGTTTATTTCTTGCTGTATTGTATTTAATGATATATACCTCTTCTGCCAATTGTCAGTCATAATTTGACACACCACCAAATTTCGTGAAAAATAATTAAAGACTTTTCTAACCTATAGACTGTGCCTAATTTGAATTGCCATTTTTTCATTTTTTTACACGTATTGAAAGTTATTTTTAATCAATGACAAGGACTAAGTGATGTGAACTCCTATCTCATTCATAGCATTCTACAAAAGATTTATATATTAATAAGTTTATGGTGCTTGCATCTGTAAAACATGTTGCAGAAGAAACCAAGATAAGGATCATTAACTAAAGGAAAAGGTGTTGTGAATAGGTGCATTTACAGTCTATAATGAAGTATACAATTTGATTATTGTGCTATAATGATCTTCTGGTAAGATAAATCAGGAACATTTATGAAAGACAATGTGTGCTATTACATGTACAAGATCTTGACATCAAGAGGAGTACATTTTTTAGTATAAAAAAATGGCTTGTGATTTTTTAATTTGGGGGTTACTTATGTTTGGATGTTGCATACAAGCATTGCTAGTTGCATCCGAAGATGATCCATTGGAATATATGAGCAAAGAAGAACGTGACACATTAAAGTTTGTATCATTGTATAATTTTATAGTCTAATGCATATGTATATATATATATACATTTTTTTTACTAATTTTATAATTTTAATTATAGAGAAGAATCCCGGGATATGTTTTATCATGCATATAATGCTTACATGGTAAAGTTTATATAAATTTTTCCATAGATTTGTAATAAATTTATAACATCAATTTAAAGGTAAAATTACAAGCCATAATACTGAAATTGAATAGTAGTTATTTTAGAAGAAATAACATTCATGTTAGTCATGAAATGGCTTGATAATTTTATTATGGAAATATATGTTTACATGATAACTAAAGAATTAAATTTATGTATTAAAGGATAATGCATATCCTGCTGATGAATTAATGCCATTGAGTTGTAAAGGACGGTATCGAGGATCGGAACCAAACAGGGGTGATATAGATTCCACGTTGGGAAAGTAAGAACTAGATTTTATGATATTCTGTAATATTTTGAAAAGTTTCATTTTGAACAAAACTATTCTTTAGGATTACCACTTTATGAAATTTTATTGAAACATATATTTGTAAAGTTAAGTTATTAATAATTAATTTAACCTTATTTCGTACAAAAAACACAATTACATAAATGTATAATATTTATTTACAGTTTTTCACTTACGTTGGTTGACACATTGGATACACTTGTGGTAAGTTTATTTTTTATATTTTATACAAAAGTTCCAAAGTTTATAAAGTATTTGGTAACTTAGTTGTAATTATTTATTAGGTGTTGGGAGATTTAGAAGAATTTGAAAATGCGGTTAAACTTGTTGCCAGAGATGTTAGCTTCGATACAGATGTTATTGTTTCTTTATTTGAAACCAATATTAGAATGCTTGGGTAAAATATGTTCTTTACTACATTTTAATATCCTATATTATTTTCATACAAACAGTAATCAATGTTTCTTTTTAAATAATTTGTCCAACAGAGGTCTTCTAAGTGGTCATATACTGGCAGAGTATTTGCAACAACGAGCTGATATAATGCCATGGTATCGAGGTGAACTTCTAAATTTAGCAAAAGATTTAGGATACAGATTTCTACCAGCATTTAACACAACAACAGGAATACCATATGGCAGAGTAATCATATTTGAGTGTATTATGTTATATTAGTATATATGAAAAATCTGGAAGTAGTAAAAAGTTCTGGTTGTATGTTTCCTCTAGATAAATTTAAAATATGGTATGAAAGGGGTACCCTTGGAAATGTCAAGAGAAACATGTACAGCCTGTGCAGGTAGTATGATTTTAGAAATGGCAGCATTGTCGAGATTAACAGGAGAATCGATTTTTGAGGTAATCATTTTTATAAAAATAATTGATTGTATTTTATTGTACATTATTGTATGATGTAGGAGAAAGCACAAAAAGCGATGGATGTTTTATGGAGAATGCGTCATCGAGGCACCGATTTAATGGGTAGTGTATTAAATGTACATTCTGGTGACTGGGTACGAAGAGATTCTGGTGTGGGAGCAGGTATAGACTCCTACTATGAATATTGTCTTAAAGCGTACATTTTATTAGGTAACTATTATATAATCATTAATAATACTATAAATGTAACTATTATATAATCATTACTATATTTATAGTTTTATAATGAAGGTTGCAATAATTAACTGAAATACTAACGTTATGCAGGAGATGAAAAATATTTAGGAAGGTTTAATAAGCATTATCAAGCTGTAATGAAGTATGTAAGTCAAGGACCGATGTTGTTAGATGTACATATGCATAGACCAAATACAAATTCCAAAAATTTCATGGATGCGTTATTAGCTTTTTGGCCTGGGTTGCAGGTAAGTTTGCGACAATATGTATACATTTTAAATCGTTTATTTCATAAATATTATTGTATTTATTTAATATTTACAGGTATTAAAAGGTGATATTAAACCTGCTGTCGAAACTCATGAAATGCTGTATCAAGTGATGCAAAGACATAATTTTATACCAGAAGCATTTACTACTGATTTTCAGGTATCTACTTTTTTTTGAGGTAGTTAAAATTTGTGTTTTATATTAAAAATATTTCTAAATTTGTATAATTCTAGATACATTGGGGGCACCATCCTTTAAGACCAGAGTTTCTAGAATCAACTTACTTCCTTTATCGTGCTACGGGTGATCATTATTATTTAGGTGTTGGACGTAAGGTACTAAGAAGTCTACAAACTTATGCTAGAGTACCATGCGGTTATGCAGCCGTCTCAGACGTTAGAACAAATAAACATGATGATACAATGGATAGCTTTGTACTGTCAGAAACATTCAAATACTTGTTTTTATTATTCGCGGAACCAAGCGAATTGATTTTAGATCTAGATGAATTCATTTTTACAACTGAAGGACATTTGTTACCATTAACACTTGCTTCCAAAAGGACTAATGTTTCTTCGGTAAGTGTGTAAATAATTTAAAAATTAAATTTTATAGTAAACTGTATACTTATACTTTACATCTTCACATTTCACGAAATGAAGCAAGATTTTGAACGTGATATGGTGCATGTGGATGAAATGGATCGCACTTGCCCTAACAGTCTACATTTATTTCCTGCTTCAGTACGTTTGCCTTTGAGAAATATGGTTGAAGATGTATGCCCAAGGCGGACAATAAAGAGGAGATTGAGTGCTGCCCAATTTCAGGTAATGAATATTGCTTAAATTACAAGAGATCGTATGTGAGTATTTTTTAAACGAGAGAAAAACTATTTTCCGTTATAGGCTAACAATTTGGAACATATGAAATTGTTAAGCGATATGGGAATAACAACTTTAACCTTAGCAGATGGACGAGTTCAACTTTTACACACCTTTTCTAATGTAGTACAAAAGTTTTTATATGCAAATTGCTACAAGTACACACCTCGATTTGAATAAAATACGCATACATTTATTTTCTACAGGCAAAAACACCACAAGATTCTGAGGAAGGTTTGTTATTCATGCAAGAAATGGTAGAAATAAGTAAAATGCAGTCTCAGCAAGCCGAAACTAAACCACAGGTAGTTACATTTGTGAAACCAAATACAAATCCACCGCAGAAAGTGACATTGTTTGCTGGTCCAGCACATTTTGGATTAGAGTTACAAGGATTAAATAAAATCACTGGAAAAGTTACTTTTACATATCCAATTTCTGCCTGCACTGATCTTCTTAATGCAGATAATCTCGCAGGCAAAATAGCAATGATGCATCGTGGAAATTGTATGTTTATAGAGAAGGTAAATATTTTCTAATTCTACAGTAACCGTTTTCAAGGAGGCAGTTATTTATATACATATATAACAGTGTTTTCCTCGTACATGTTAAGATGTAGTATAAAAGAAATTAATTCGAGAGATTTTATAAGTAAAGAATTTAAATACATTATAAATTGTAAATTTTTAAATTTTGTTTACTTATACTTTTTTATGTAAAATGATTATGAAATCTTCGAAAATTCTTTAGCTATCATAAAATTACAGATTATTATATAGACCTTATAACATTTATACGGGAGCTTTTCGTAAAATATTAAAATATTTTATAATAAGTACTTATCTGGTGTACATTATAAATATTGTTTCAGATTAATCTTATATAGTTATATATTTTGGTTGTAGGCAAGGAGAATACAACAAGCTGGTGCTATTGCTGGAATAGTATTAGATAATGTTGTAGGTTCTAGTGCTGCAACTTCACCTATGTTTGCAATGTCAGGAGATGGAAAAGAAGTTGATGATGTAACTATTCCAGTCGTATTTTTATTCAGTGTTGAAAGTTCGGAATTATTAAAAGCTTTTTCAGCCGCTAACAGTGATCTCACAGTTACTCTTGGTAAGAGATTATTATTTCTTACAGAAATAATATAAACTGTTTTATTAAATACTTTTACTGAATTTAGATTTTTAGTAAACAAATTATTTATATAAAAGCTAAAATATGAATGTAGTTTGATTATAATTTTTCTATGCTTATAGGAAATTTCTTCTCTAATGAAGATGTTCAATTAAAAGCACCTACCGATTTGTCAATGTTCGAACGTTTGAAAGGGTCATTAAAATCCTTCCTTACACGGCAAATGACACCACAGGTCTGTATTCCTTGGTGTTTGGCAATTATTTTCATTGAATATGTTCTTCTTTGGATATTGATTTATATAAAACGATATTGATTTATCTTCTAATCTATTGTCAATCGAGAATATTGTGTCATTTGTAAATTAGTCGTGAGAAATCTGCATACTATCATATGACAAGTTACTTTTTATTTAATATTTATGATATATAGCAAAAATATTATATACACTATTTAAACGCTCGCAATATTGTGTAATGCAAACTGTTATTTAAGTTTTTATATTTTTAAAGAAATTAAATTGTTGATTTTCATATTTACTACATCTACTATATTTTCAATTCGTTCTTATCTCCTTCTTCTGTTAAACCGTAATAGAATAGCATACGTGTAATAATATAGTTTTAAGTTATCGATTCATGCCCATATTTTTGTAATCATATATTTTTACATTTCATACAACTGTAAAATGAAACTAAAGATCGATAGATATTTTTTTATAACAGACATCTGGAAGCAGTGAGGCAAGCGAAGAAATGGCCACCGAGATGAAACATGAAGAAGATGAAAAGGACATAGTTGTTTTTTCTAATTTGCATGCAGAAATTGTCAAAGATCTGCTTGGTGGAGAAGTAAGAATCGCGTCGACAAATAAATGTACTCATGTCACGAAGAATTCGGAAGATAGCACTTTAATAGAACAACAATGGCGTCAATTGAAAGAAGTCTTTGTTAACCGGATATACGCGGATACGAAGCAAAATGAAGGCCTACAAATTAGAAGTTTCATATTAGAAGGCTACTGTAATTGGATATTGAAGTCACGAGGTGAAGTAGATAATTCATTAAATATGTCTCTAAAAAGTAAAGTTTTATGGTTTCTAAAAGAATTAACTGAAGTCTCTCCAAATCCGTCCATTACAACAATGGGCCAGTTAATGGATTCCAATAATCAAAAGTTATTAAAACAATATTTATTGACGAAGATGGATCTTATGGTGTTAAATATGAACACTATAACAACAATGCTAAAGACTATGAAGTTCGAGGGTCCGAATCGTGAACAACTAATTAGGTTGATACAGCTCGGCATTACAGAAGATAGTAACTATGAATATTTGAGAATATTGGTACTGGGTCTTTTTGATATCGAAGATGAAAGTATTAAACATCTAACCCTATTAGATCAATTTAGTAAAGCTGTGCACAAAGAATACCAAGAAATATTATCTAACAGAGCACAAAAATATGTGGAAAAGACGATTGTAAAATTCAATGAAAATTCTTACTACGATGTAGTAATTAATAATTGGAAAAGAGATTTGAAAAGTTTCGAAAAACTGGATATTGCAGAATTTATAAAAGATAGCATTGAAAGTAGGAAACCAGAAATGAAATCTAAAGAAGTTGTTAAAATGCCTCAGAAAAATGAAGATATTAAGGTTGGAAAATTTGAAGATTTTCGATATTTTATATTAACAAAATTAGAAGAAGTAGA